TCAATCAATATAGTGAGTGGAGTTTCTATATTTTAATAAGGTCTTTTTCTTGTTTGTTTTGTTTAGGATGTCTGATGAAGAACGTGCGAGGGCCAAAAAGTTTGCCACTGATGTTACACTGTCAAAGGAGGCAGAGGAAGAAATGAGGGCATTGTTTATGTTTGGAGATATAGACAAGAATGGTTTCATAACTGAAGCAGAGTTTCGATATGTCATGACAAGAGATGGGAGCAAAATAACCGATGATGAAGTTAAAAATGCCATCCAAGGAGCTGATGTTGATGGCGATGGTCGGCTCAGCTATGATGAATTCGTCAAAGTAATGATTAAGTGAGTGAGGGATTCTTAACCTGCCCTTGTTAGAAAGCCTTAAGCTGATCAGATCATGATTTAGAAAAAGCTTTTAATCGATGATTCAATATAGTGAGTGGAGTTTCTATAGGTTTTAATAAGATTTTGTTTTTTAGGATGGCTGCGATGGTCAAAAATTTTTCCACAGATGTTCCACTGTCAAAGGAGGAAGAGGAAGAAATGAGGGGAAGGTTTATGTCTGGCGATGTAAACAATGATGGTTTCATAACTGCAGAAGAGCTTCTATATGCGGTGACAAGAGATGGGAGCAAAATAACCGATGATGATGCTAAAAATGCCATCCAAGCAGCTGATGCTGATGGCGATGGTCGGCTCAGTTATGATGAATTTGTCAAATACATGATGGCCATGTGAGGGATTCTTACATGGTTTTTGTCTTTCTTATAATCGACAAGTTTCTAATATAATCTAATAAGGCTTTACTTTTGTGTTTTTTTAGGAAGATGATTGAAGAAGCTGCCATGGGCAAAAATTTGGTCACAAATGTTAAATTGTCAAGCGAGGATGAGAAATCACTGAGGGAATTCTTTATGGGTTTCGATGTAGACAATGATGGTTTCATAACTGCAGCAGAGTTTCAACATGTGTGGAAAAATGATGGGAAAAAAAAAACCGACGAGGATGCATATAAGGATGCTTGTCGTCTCATCAAAAAATATGATGTTGATGGCGATGGTCGGCTCAACTTTGATGAATTCGTCAAAGTCATGATCGCAATGTGATGATTCAGAACCCTTTTGCTGCCTTTCTTAATCGATGATTTTGTTTCTATAAATTAACAAGATTTTGTTTTTTTTCTTTTCTCTTTTGATAGGAGGGCTAAAGCTGCGAGGGTCGAAAAAGTTACCGCATATGTCTCGCAAAAGGTTAATAGATTCGTCAAATTCGTGGTAAAAACCTTGGTCTGAAGAAAAAAAGAAAAATGATTTATCATGTCTTACAGTGAATTTTCTTCATCATCTTTAGCAATGTTTTTACTTCTTTCCTGTGGTTGCTTTTTTCTTTAACATTACCTGTTGTTGCTTTGTTAAAGCTCTTTAGTGTTATGTCAAGTGTGAACTCATGTGTTTGCTCATCCTCCTGTGACTA